ATCTCACTAATCGCCAAAGGGTTGAAACAGGAACGCACACAACAGAGCACCACAGACAAACCACTTAACTCAGACTGACGCCAGCTCACTAACAGTCGCGGGAGACCCCCAGCTAACACCACCTAGCAGCACAACTCGTAACTACAAAGCATGCTCGTGCAACAGGTCGGTTCCGGTTATTTTTGGGTCCCCCTTCGTAGCTCCACCGTTTTGGACCTCGGCACTAGATGGAGGTGAGCGGTGAGCTTCACACTCCTTCCACTTTACCGTGGGGGATAAAATGCCTGGTACCCATCTGATAGGAGGCTGTGTGGGCCCCAGAGCCGGTCTGTGTGTCATGAAGAAGGGAAAAAGTCTATTGACCCTGCTGGGAATCAAACCATGATTCCTCAGTCGCACGCCCAGTAGCCTACTCGCTATACTGACTGAGCTATCAAGGCACAAGAAATGGTATTTTGATAGTCACTTTTGGTGTATAAGATATACTTGCAGTGTCTTAATGACATTTCATGATATTTAATAACATTTTAAAGTATCAAAGTTACATTTTCAGTGAAGAAAAAAATATTTTTAGTGTCTTTTATATCATTGTTGCATTGTTGACGGTGTACTTGAATAATAAGAATGATACATGGTGTCTCCTATGTGAGAAGTTGAGTCAGGATAGTGGGTGTTCACTGAGATTCGAAATGCCTGCATCCAAATCAGAAAGTCAGAGAAACTGGCAGAGAAGTTCACTCAGGATAGTGGGTGTTTGCTGAGATTCGAAATGCCTGCTTCCCAATCAGAAAGTCAGAGAAACTGGCAGAGAAGTCCACTCAGGATAGTGGGTGTTCACTGAGATTCGAAATGCCTGCATCCAAATCAGAAAGTCAGAGAAACTGGCAGAGAAGTCCACTCAGGATAGTGGGTGTTCACTGAGATTCGAAATGCCTGTGTCCCAATCAGAAAGTCAGAAAAACTGGCAGAGAAGTTCAGTCAGGATAATGGGTGTTTGCTGAGATTCGAAATACCTGCATCCCAATCAGAAAGTCAGAGAAACTGGCAGAGAAGTTCAGTCAGTCATGGCTACACCCCAGTCAGAGTGGTTGAGATGAGGAGCTGTGGATGAGAAAGCATGGAACTGTACACCCATCCGCCCATACATCTTCATGACACGGTGCTTAACTGAGCCCAGTGTGAACTTTTGCCCTGTTACAGATGCAGCTTCAATCAATGTTTCTTTTCAGGTTTGAGTGGGACACCTGTGTCACAGTGGGCGCTCTGCTGGAGACGAGGAGGTAACGCTAAACCGGGTACATTTGGGGGCCCACCACAGTGCCCCCACAGCACTTTGTCCAGCACAAGGAGTTCTGTGAGCAGCACGCCTGCTTCCCCTTGCCCCACACCCCTGCCATTCCTTGTCACATCAGGGTCTGTCAGGTGAGCACGTCTTCATGATGGAAGTGAAGTGAACAGTTGGTGTTGAGCATGTTGATGGTAGGGCTCAGTGAGTTTCCCACCTGTAATAAACTGCACTTATCAAGAACAGCCTTGTATATGAACTAGCATAAGGGCCATTTAAACAAATTCTCTCCAAAGCGCCTAAGATCACTCTCCCGAAAAGTTTAGGGGGCAGTCTATATTGAACTTGATACAGTAGCAGAACACATTAGGCAGTGCTGCTGTGTAAAAGAGCTTCCATATGACAAAGGTGGACAGTGCGATAGTGACTCATTCTTGCCTTCCACTGCTACCACGTTCTGTTTGTATTTGTTAGCATATGCTGACAGAATAGGGACAGTCAGCCTTTTATATAGTATATAAGGAAGCCTGATGCTTGGTATTCTGTCATAACATGTGTTAACAAATTGGAGCACCAGCAGGAAGCAGCAGTGGAACGTATGCTTGTGTTGGTGCTGCAGTTTGAAGTATATCACTAGATAGTAGTACCATGTAATGCATATTGTTATTCTGCCATGCTCATTATCTCAGTATAAATGTAGCTGACCCTCCACAGTGATTACATTTCATAGAGTGTATACTCAGTGTTCTTCAAGGGCTAAAATCTTCGGATCACAGTGAAGTATGTAAGTACAGTGTGACAAAATATGATATTGGTCACAGCAGTAGTTTCCTGTTGAAATTTCACTGGGCTTTATGTTATCTTAACAGTACATTCTCCATGAGTAAATGCACATAAATCTCACTACAGCCCTTAGTTTGTCCACTCATGATGCAAAAGAGAGGTTATCACTTCTCTCCTAGGACAACAGCACAGTTTTATATTTCAGTCTGTCTGATATTGATGAGCACACAATGATATGTCATAATATTATATTCCAGCATCCTGTTTCTTTGATGTATCACTTGTTCACTCATTTCCATCTCTAATGCAACCCAAAATCGTTCACAGTCTCTCGTTTATTTTAAAATGTCATTAAAATCACATTCAATTGCAACACATTTTGGCCTTGCAAACCCACCTTTAGGCAATTGTTCTGCACTGCACTAGTTCATATGTCAGTGCATCCCATGCTATTGCTACAGCCAACTAACAAGAACTACACATGAAAGGGGCACAACATGGGCGCTATAAAATGAAAATAATGTCGACCAAAGTTAGATTGTTCATTCTCAAACAAACACATTTTTGTATGAACTGGTGCAGTGCAGAGCAATTGCCTGAAGGTGGCCTTGCAAAGCCGAAACATGTTGCAATTGAATGTGATTTTAATGGCATTTTAAAATAATGGTGAGACTGTGAATGATTTTGGGTTGCATTAGAGATGGAAATGTGTGAACGAGGTATGTCATAATGCCATACTGGACCCTGTCTTCAAAACATGGCAGTAAATGTGAGGTTGACAGAAGGATGTACTTCCTATTTTGAATGTTTTGATGGTTTTATGTGCTGCAGCAGTGGCATGGTGCCTTCTGTTGGCACCAACCTGTCACCTGACCAGACGTTCGGGTCAATCCGATCCCTCTCAGTCAGCCGGGAAGTGGCAAGCTTCCCTCTGTCAAGGACACCCACACCACCCCCAACAATGGACAGGTAAAGTGAAGTTGATTTCTCTTCAAAACACTTCAGCATATCTGTACCTTATGTCATTAGGTATGTGAAAGGGCTTTTTATTTTCCCCATCACATTCACAATGGCTGTGGTGCCCACCCAGGCATGTGTATAGCAGGAATGGGAGGTTGGGGGAGCGGCTGTTACTTGGAGTGAAAACTTGCTGATTATGAAGCTGATCTCCTAGCTCCTTCTAGAGGTTAAACTAACAATTCAGTAGTTTTACATCACACCACTTGTATGTTTCCATCGAGCAATATTGTCTCCGGGTTAATTTTAGGAGGAAATAATATGAAACAGCTACAACAGACTTAATTTAACAAATACCACTGGTAACTTCACTTACATTTCCGACAAAAGAAGATAAAGAGTGTCATCTTGTGGTATATAAGGATCTCAGAAGATATAACTCTTCATAACCACCATTGTGACAACTGCAGAGGCTACAAAAGAAACTCTAAATCAATTAGAAGGTGCTGCAAAAAAAAATTATGTTAGCTATGTGGGCATTGTTGATACTGGAAAACAGTGCAGATTGTGTTGTTGTTAATGCACATTTTCAAGACTCAGGACAGTTTGGATGAGAGAAAATCTTCCCTCCATAAACTTCTGTCCACTAAAAATGGAAATATATTTTTTCCATTTAAAAACTTAAAAATATTGACGCATGTGGTGGTGACTATTAACGAGTTTTGGATTGGATGATTGGATTTTACTTTCATAGATCTAAACATTCAGACAAGATATTGTACAAAGAATGTAATTTTTTTTCTAGTTATACTAATACACATCTCTTTGATCTGTGTATCTGCTTGTTAATCAACTCAGCAGCAGGAATGTATGTAACATACATAAGTGATTTGCTACTACCCTTTTGGTTTCTGCTGAGCCAGAATAATTTAATGTTAGTAACTGATCTCGCATAACAGTATTATATTTTTATTTACTTTAGCAAAATGACAAGCCCAACATTGGGCACAATGGATGAATCTTCTTCAGTAACCTCAGCCACCGCCAGAAATGACCTTCCACCAGTAGTCGTGCCATTAACACCACCCGAGTTCCCATCACCTCGACCAGAAATTACAGTGGTTGCACCAGTCATTATACCCCAGTCACCACCAGCACCACCAACTATGCGGTCTCCACGAACTGAGGTCCAAGATACAATTAGAGCTACAGCACTCGTCATCACAAGAGGACCAAGAAAATCTGTGTCAATTGTCCTTCCTGATGAAGAGAATGGATGATCGATTACATAGAAGATAATGGAACTTGTATCAAATTATGTGCATTCTTGACAGAGAATATTTAAAAAGAGTAGAAATGAAGGCAATGAATTACATATGGCATAGGTTTTGCTAAGTTTATTAATTGCAATTCAAATGAATTAAACATATGACAAGATGAAAGTAGTGGAACTTTTGTTTTTGTAATCACAGTTGTTAGCAAAACATATAAATGCTCATCCCAGCAGTACAATCTGTGATCCTAGGATATTTAGAAACACAGAAGATGAGTCACAGCTCCAAAGAGGGATGTAGGCTTAATAGTCTTTGAAATTAATTCTGTTATGCTATGAATTTATTGTTTGATTTTAGTCCTGAACACTGTTCTTTCCAAACAAGCAGGTTCAGTATGATGATCAAGTGGTTGTACAATCTTTGTCATTTCTGGATCTTGTGGGTGATAACAAAGTACAACTTGATTCTGATAGATGAGGGAAGACTTGTAGCCACGTAAGCAAGTTCCTAGTAATATAATTTCGTTTGTTTCTTTACCAGCTGAGAATTCCAAGTGATATTAAAGTGATAAAGGAAAGCTCAAAAGACAATACTTATTGAATTCCCAATATTTAAATGATTTCTCAGCAGAGTTTAAAGAACAGTCATTGGTCAGCTTTCAGTCAGTAACCAGATATGGTCTTTTCACTGTGATGGGAGGACAATGTAAAGTGCAACACTTTATAATATTAATGTGTGTTATATTTAAGTGATGTTGAATTTTGTAATGATGCATGTTAGGTAGTACATAATTCCAAAAGGTGATGATAAAGATATGCTGATGTGATGATGATTATTATTACAAAATGTGTAATATGAGCTTGGACTACAATATTTTCAGACATCGACAGTACAACGATCTATGCTAAATGAGCAGAAAGGAGCAGTAAATGCAGACATGATCACATTGCTATTATAATGGCCTTAAATTAAATTATCTAGAATTTTGGAAGTAAATAAACAATTGAATAAAATCCATGGTTTTTCCTTAGTGGTCAAAATTGTACATGGTCAGTTTCCCATTATTTACACATGCCTACCACATAGGTCTAAATTAAACATTGGTAAGCAAACTGTGGATGAACCCATGCTTTGAGATGTAAGGAAAGTTAGGAGATCATAATTAGGAAGAAGGAAAACCATTTTACAAATGTATATCCTCTTCTCATATCATAACTGTATCTCATACTTCAAATATTTAAAAGTCATAAATATCCATGATTACTGAATCTACATTATATTTAATTTTTATTTAAATTCATTGAGTTATGTACATATGCATGAATCAATATGAAGGATATGCAAGAAAAAACATTTACTATAAATTTAGATTTTAAAATATATATCCATTTTAATACAATGAAATTGAGAGCTCTAGAGACCAGGATGGTTGTCTTCCTTACCTCTAGGCTGGTCCTTAGACCATATTTGAAACACTGTTTTAAAATTTGCTCATCATATTCTTTAAGCACATCTTTTATCACTTTTGCTTGTGCATCTTAACTAAGCAGATTTATTTATGGGAAGTGAATTCAGGTGTACACATAGGTCTATTAATGGTCAAAATTTTGTTGCAAGTATAAAGCTTAAATTGAAGGTAAATTATTAAAGCACATCTGACTATATCAGCAGGTGCTGTAAATGTAAATATATGCTAATCCTGCTGGATTTTGCTTAATTTGAATTTAAGTTATGTTCCAAGTCCCGATGAGGTCATTGGATTTTTTTCAATTGACGTAATCCTTCTAGCCGCACTATGGCCCTGGGGTTGACTCAGCCTCTAACAGAAATAAGTACCAGGAATTAATTAAATAATTTTCCTGGGGAGTAAAGCATGACTGGCACGTAAGGCTGACAACCTTACCGCCATCTTTGAGCCGATTATCTAGATAATGAGGGACTCTCAGCGTCTCACAACCCCATGGCCCTTCATGTCCTGGTACAGGGATAACTTCACTTTACTTTTTACTTTTAATGATAATAAGTATTATTCATGGTTGAAGGTTTTTAATCTTTGAGTATATGGAAATTTCCCATGGATTTTATGGTCCCACAAATTACAGAGGTAAGAAATATTGTATATATTCTCTTTATTTCAGTTTTGAAGCATTTTTTAATGTTCTTCTCACCAAGAAAGCAAGACAGTTATTAGTTAAATATTTATTTTTTTCAGAGTACTAAAATTATAGAAATAGCTCCTGTCTCCTGATACAGATGAAAGCACAAATGCCAACTGAGGTGCAGTTTACAGAGTGCAACTGGGGAAAATCAGCATGATTAAATTTACTGTTGTTAAAATTGCATTTATGACAAAGAGGTAGCATTATCCAAAAGTGCTACAGTCTCGCCATACTGGGATTCCATTTCATTCACAGGATGCCAATTTATATGTATTACTTTTGTTCGTTTATAACATCAATTACAGAATTGATGATGATTGTATTTGCTTGAAATGTGCCAATTTATCCTGTGCTGTTCAGTTAATTTCCCTTCATTAAATATCTGAAGGCCTGGGATTTGAGGATACTTACAGCATCCACAGCAGACTGCTACAGCAGCATGTCTTAGATATCATGATATTACAACAAATATTCATGTCACATACACATTGAACTGAAGGAACAGCAATATTGCCTGGTGGGTCTAAATGACTTTCATGTCAGATATTAGTCTACAGCCTTATTGGTTAGGAAGGAAATGTGTCCCATCCTGATGCTAATACAACCCTACCCATGCAGACATCCTTGATATAAAAATACCACTGAATTATTTCCAGAAAATAAGAAATTTGAGTATTGGACTGATATTATCTTTACAGTTGATCAGACTGTGTACTCCAAGCTCAAAGTCCTAATTGCTGCTTAACAGCCTACAAGTAGTTTTGTTTCTAGTGCAATGAGTGTGACATGCTTCTGTCTACACCAATAAATATATATTGTCTAAGTAAGATACAGGGTTCAAGTAGAAAAGACTTGATTGTATGTTTTTGTGATGACAGCATATTTGTTAATGGAAGAGATTAGCATGGTTGTTGCGTTAATGAAATATTTATTTCATGCCAAATAATCATACCTGAAGTATGTAGGTTTACACTCTTAAGATAAAATGTTTACACTCATAAGATAAAATGTTACACATGCCATCTCTTTGCTTTGAGCTGTAGGGCAAGACAGGGAATGCGTGAAGTATTTTGTGCTGTAATCCCTCTGCATGTGAGCATGAGGCATCTCTGAGTTCAATCTCCCAATGAAAGAAAATCATATATACTGACATTACTATAAATTAAGATGCTCTGTATAATTAATATCATTAATACTGATGTTATTGATTTTCTGAAAAATGATAGCAAGTTCACAAGCGATGTACAATATATTTAACAAAACACCACAAAATATTCAGACGAAGAATTCCACAAATCTTGATTCATATATGTACCAGCTGATTTTGATTATTCACAGTCACAAGTTTGTATGGAGTAATGCTTATACATAATAATATGTATATCTCCAGTTGTCAGCAGTGATTTTCCTGCTATTGTGTAATTTTTATAATAAAATAAAGTGTGTTATGAAACTGTTTGAATTTTAATGTAAGGTTTCATATGTAATTAGCTGTCATAACAGTGTTCTCATATTTTGGAGTGCTTCATATGTTCTGGACCTGTATATTTCCTAGAATATCATTTATACTAGATAACATGCAATCATGTTCATTATTTCTAATGTTCTGGACAAAGAAGGAAAAATTGTGCTAAATAAAGTTCCATACTTCAGTACAATCTTTGTAACGCTGCAACTATGTTACTTCTTTTTCTTAAGGATTGGGCAAAAATATGAAATTTCTTACCCACATTTTCAGCTTTTATATATGTGTTGAATTAATTATGATTCATATTTCTTATGTCAAGATCATGTTATAAAGTTGTTAAAGAAATTTCCATTGAGAGTATAATAGTACTTGCATAACATGGATGTTGTAGTAGTAAGATGTTATTTCCCATATTGAACAATTCTGTATCTTATGGAATATGTACATAATCTTTGCAGAATTTCTGTGTACAAGTAGGAAACAAATTTGTTTGTTTAAATTTAGAATAAGAACCCCTTTGAGACATTTTAGAAGTGTTACTTTATCAATAATCTCACAACAATTATTTTATGCAATTAAAATAAACTACATGCACTTAAAAATGTTCGATTTTGAACCACATTTTATCTCTAAAAAGCTCTAACAAAGTTTAGTAATCTTTAATTAAATTAATCATGACTTAGTGTGAAAGATTATGATTGGAACCATGCAGTGCAAGTTTATGAAAATACATTCCTTTTGATATTGCCTTCACCTTACTATATTTTAAAATACAGTTTTACGCTATGTCTTTTTGAGATTTACAGCTGAAAGTCTCTGCACTTGGGACATTGTCCTTTCCAGTATATGCTCAAAATTTTGAGATTGAATTTAAGTTTGTATCCATTTTACTGTGAAAAAGGAGTGTTGCTAGTAAGAGTTAATTTTGCATATTATTTGTAATACCATTTCACTGCTCAGATGTTGTAGTTTCATTAGTTTTCATATCTGTCATATGCTGGTGTACTGTTTTACCTTCTAACATTGAAATGCTTCATAGAAAGGAATACTGGCCATTAATGGTAGAGAATTTGCTGTACACCTGCCAGAAAGTATAAGGAAATAAAGTGCAGAATGAAATGAAACATTACTATGGAGAACGAATGAATAATACAACAGAATGAATTGATATGGTTTATTTTGTAAAATGTACCCCACATCCGTCCTTTGGTGTGTTAGTGGTGATACAGTATTAGAGATTTTAGCATTATGTTGTCATATGAAACCTTGCAACAGAAATGTGAAAATGGAGCTCTGCTGACTTGTAGCCATTAGGAAATAGCACTGCTTATTTTCTCCAACTGTTAACCTATGATAAATTTTCCATTTACAATATCAAGTGGGCCCTTTGCTTCTATTGATCACTTATAACTACTCATGGTTCATTTTCTGAGCTAAATTACTTCATTTCTGTACAATACCTTACATTTCTATTTAAATTGTAAAGGAGTTTCTGCAGAGTACTTTTTCATTTTAAAATATAGAACACATCTAAGTATAATATGAATAACCAACACTTATAAGTTGAACTATTTTATTATGTAATTTAATATATATGAGACAAACTCTGTCTTAAGTGCAACAATTTAATTGTAGTTCTTTCTTCTTCCTTTCCTCCACACTACATGTTTCGGCCCTAAATGGCCATCATCAGGTGTGTATTCTTACGTAGCTGCTACACTGCCCGTAGTTTAAAATTTAAAATCACCAGTCTTTCTAATTGTATGTATGTATAAAATCTTTGTTAATCTACACGCGTCAATTTGATTTATAAAATTGGCACTTTTTTAACTTCTATTCAAATTAAAATGTCTATAAATTTTCTGTTCTTTTTCTTTTTCCAAATTTTTAAAAATTAAAATTTTCTCGGGGTACATGCCCTATGTCTATAGTGCTGCAGCGGCCACTTCTTGTTTTATCGCTGTTCAGGTATTGTTCTGTGTAGGCTCTCTGTGTGTGTGTCGCTGATTATCTTTAATCTTTAAAAATTAGAAAGACTGGTGATTTTAAATTTTAAACTATGGGCAGTGTAGCAGCTACGTAAGAATACACACCTGATGATGGCCATTTAGGGCCGAAACATGTAGTGTGGAGGAAAGGAAGAAGAAAGAACTACAATTAAATTGTTGCATTTAAGACAGAGTTTGTCTCATATATATTGTGTGAGTGTAACAGGATGCTTAAATATAATAATGTAATTTAATCTTTACCAAGGAACTTTAAACCCTAACAGATTTTGTCTGTGCTTGTAAATGTCTGAGTGCATAAATTGTATTATACTAAAGTCATATCATCTACTGCTGAGAGCAGCAATTGCTTGCTTTTGAGGAGAGGCACAAGGCCGTTCATTACACAAGACAGAAGTGTTGGTGCGTCCTGCATACACATATTACCAAGAATCCAACTGATAAAAATTATTTTGGTTCCTTTTGTCATTTACATGTTGACTGCTACCGTGACTTCTTATATTTTTGTCACAGGCTAAATGATGAAACATAGGAATGCATAATTTTTGCATTATTTTATTTTATCACTGATGCTGACAAGTGTTGTGCTACCTACAAACCAGTGCAGATCGACTCCCTAATGACTGCATGCAATCAGCACAGAGCATATATTGCTGAGCCAAATGGTGCAAAGTCAAGGGTCTGCAGCAGATATCAATGGCCACCACTGGAGTTAACATACTTGTAATATATAAATTAATACAGGAATTTACAGCAGCATCTATATAATAACGATCTCGCATTAGCAACTTTTGCACAGGTGTCAATCTTACAAAAGCACTTCAGGGAATTTGGTTACCTGTGTATAATACTGTGACATTCTTTCTTGGTTTAGTACTTTTTGGTGACATGTTTCCAATGCATCAGGTGTAGTCTGATGGGAGTGGCAGCATTGCCCTTAATTATGAGCTTTCCTGCATCCACCGGGTACAGTTTGTGTGATTTGACCACTGGATTAAATAAGAATTTGATAAATAATAGTATACTTGAGGTAAATTAGAGTATAAGCAAGGAGGGGCAGATAACTGCTTAACATTACCAACTGAATGCAGATGGGAACCATTGTTGTCCTCCGGTTATCTCATCAGTGGTGAGTCATATTCTGGAGGTTTGTCTGTAACTGATGAGAGCTGCTGGGAC